CGGTGTTCCAGTCCTCATCTAAATTAAGTAGGCCAAGACAGAGACTGGGCCTTGTTCATCTTTGCTGCCCTTTCCCTAACAGTTGTTGTTGTTGTTAAGTGCCGTCGAGTCGGTTCCGACCCATAGCGACCCTGTACAGGGTTTCCGAGGGTGTAAATCTTTACGGGAGTAGAAAGCCTCATCTTTCTCCCGCGGAGCGGCTGGTAGTTTCGAACCGCTGACCTTAAGGTTCGCAGCCCGATTCGTAGCCACTACGCTACCAGAGCTCCTTTTTCCCTAACAGAGAGACTGGCAAATAGTAGGCACTCTAGACATTTGTTGAAAGAAATAAACATATAAATAAGCCCCAGGATGCATCTCTTTTAAAATTGTTGTTGAGCATTTTGCCTTGCTTTCTCAATTTTGCATGTTTAGGAAGAAATTACCAAGACATTGTTCAACTATTTTCCATTTATTACCATGCATTCTTGAAAGAGTAGACATCTGGATGGAATTCTCTCTGGTAGTCTATAGGTTTTCATATGTGGATTTGCCTAAAGTAAAATTGCAAAATAAGATGCAGACTATCTTCTAGAAAACTAACCTGCAACTCGTTGTTAGCCCTCAAGTGTACATGAAACCATAATATAAATGTTTCATTGTTGCTAAGTACACTGAGTCCCTTACAAATTCATGGTGACCCCATATAGGGTTTCTGAGGAGGTGGGTTTAAACTCCCAACTTTGTGACTCACGGTCCAGTGCTTATCTTACAACATCACACTAGGACTCCAATATAAATGCTTAGTGGACAGCACATACCAAATTACTATTAATTAGAGTAACAATAAAAATTTCCTTTAAAGTAATTGAAATCACACAATAGCCGAACCGATTGGCAGGGAATTTTAAATTTTCCATCACAAAACAATTCACTGCCACTGTCAAATAACAGTAGAGCCACTAAAACTACCTGTCATGCATCTAATGAAGATAGATTCTCGGATACCACATATAATATGTAATATCCAAAAGTGCTGCTGTAATTCACAGCTAATTAGTGTCTCGCCGATATGAGAGGTGTCATGGCCCTAACTCTCATCCCAGATCTACTCAAACCTCACAAGAGTCGACAGCATGCAAGGATCACAGAAACCCAATTAGCACCCACCCCAACCTTGGACTGCTGCTTCTCAGAGCCCTCTGCACAGCATCAATAAATCATGCCCCTTCATGAAGCTCTTCTCTGACAGCCACAAGCCATCACAGCCCAAGGAATAAAGACAATGCTTCTAAGGAAAACTCATGTAGGAAAGACAGAGATAGAAAAGGGATATTAGTTGGTTCTTTTTAGCAACATAGCGGTCAGCAAATCTGAAGCCCATCCATTCTGACTGATTAAGAAGACAACTGCATGAAGAAATAAATCTATGAGTGGTGTAGCTGAGGATCCTTAGTGGTAATCAACCGTCAGAAATTGGCTTGTTTGTTTTAATGTAGATTTATTGAAGATCTTTTTATTTCTATTTTTCTCTTGTATAACCTTCCCTCTGGCTAATAAGAAAATTTTCCCTTCAGTGGAACATAATTCTCTGCATTTACTCTGTCCCCCAGTGAATACACAGCAATCAGATAATTTGTTTGAAAGACTCTAAATTGTTTGAGTTCATTGAAAAAGAATCTATAATGATATGCTGGTCTCTAAGCAAGGCCATCATAAACTCCCTAAATCCATAAGTAAGCACTAGTGTATTCACAGCACATAACTGCCAATATCCTTGTAATTTTGTTCTAAGCCTGCAAAACTGTTTTGTTCCATAACATTCTACTTAGAGAGTGTTCAGAACAGTCACTGCCGGCTGGACATTATTCAAAGATATGACGTAGCTAATTCTACTTTTAGCTGGTTTTCCTTATGGAAATATTAGTGTTTGTATATACTAATGCTAATTTAAAACATTTAATCTAGCTTCTGACTAAGTAATGACTATATAATTTGATATATAAATGTTGGCATAAAGCAAATTGACAAGTTGTTGTTGTGAAGTGCCGTGGAGTCAGTACCAACTCATAGAGACCCTGTACAGGGTTTCCGAGGCTGTAAATCTTTACGGGAGCAGAAAGCCTCATCTTTCTCTTGCGGGACAGCTGGTAGTTTCGAACTGCTGACTTTGCAATTCACAGCCCGATTCATAACCACTACACTACCAGAGCTTAAATGGGCAAGTATGGAGCATTTAAACATGGGATTCTCATACAGCTCTTCTTTGTCATAATCGAGCATAGTAATTTCAAGAAGATTCATTTTTTCTTTCTCTAAATACAATATTCTCATGAATTTTTTCAAATAGTCAAATATTTACCTATAAGGATATCCCTGTAACATTATTTATAATTAAAAAATAGTTGAAAATATGCAAAATGTAAATTAGTCTAAATATAAATGATGATACACTCACTCATACAGTTGAAAGGTAGATGACTTCCATAAATAATGCCAAAAATACTAAAGGGTATGCATAAATTTTCACAGGATTTTACAGAAATAACAAAAATGGCACTGCAGGATAAGCACTGGACTGCTAACCACAGGTCAGGTGTTCAAACCTACCATCCACTCCTTGGAAACCTTATGCAGACAGGATCAATATGAGTCAGAACAGACTCGACAGCACTAAAACAACATACACTCTTCAGTATGGATTGCACTGAAGTCCTGGTGTGAGTACAGAGTCCTGGTGTGGTGCTGTGGGTTAATGTGCTGTACTACAAAGTCGCTTTGAACCATAAGGTTGGTGGTTCAAGCTAACCAGTCTCCCCTAGGAAACGCTATACAGACTTGCTATGGGTAGGAATCAACTCGATGGCACTTCACAACAGCAACAACAATATATATATATATACATATATACACATATACATACATATATATGTATATATGTGTGTGTTGTATATATGTATAATAGACACACATATATATATATTGTTGTTAAGTGCCATTGAGTTGATTCTGACCCACAGCAACATTGTATAGGGTTTCTAAGGAGCAGCTGGTGAGCTTAAATGTCAACCTTGCAGTTCAAACAACTTTGCAGTCTGGCGCATTAACCCACAGAACCACAACAGGATTCTATCTATCTATCTATCTATCTATCTATCTATCTATCTCTCTATCTCTCTATGTATGTATGTATGTATGTATGTATGTATGTATGTATCTATCTATCTATCTATCTATAGATAGATAGATAGATAGATAGATAGATACATACATACATACATACATACATACATACATACATAGACAGAGAGAGAGAGTCCTGCTGTGATTCCATAGAATAATACACTGTATCACAGCCACTCCTTGAGAACCCTATACAGGGTCACTATGAATTGGAATGAACTCAATGGTACTTAACAACAACAACAATATATATATATACATGATAGTGTTTATTTTCTGTGTATGGGATTTATATGTGTGAAAATAAATATACCTATAGGAGGTCAGGCATAGTAGAAGCCTCATAAAAAGGTATTTTGTTACAAATAATGTATCTTTAGAACTTGGTAGTCTCAGTTGTTCTCCTTTGGCCTTTTCTGTTTTGTAAATCTTTATATTACTTTAAAATTAGAAAAAACTGTTATTGTATAAAGTATTCACTTCTGTCACCTACATTAAGCAGTTGTACACTGGTATGAATTCCCTATCTAATGTGAGGTGGCTCATGCCCACCTCACATCAGTAATTCAATACTTTTAACATCACCCTGGTGTAAACAATTTCAGAAAGATCAGTGTCACGTCATATTCAGGCACATTTCAAGAATGGTAAGCAAAACAGGTTTTTCTAGCCGTTTTTTTTCCAGGGAACTAAGTAGGGATGAAATTGAGTCCATGTGATTCTGGAACACCATATTTGCTCAGTTCCAGAGCAGGCAGGATGTGAAGTAGAGACCCTTCTGAAAACGTCACCTCAACACCTCTGCTCTTGGTTCTCTCCTGCTCCAATTCATCTGTCTTGACATTTGGAGCCACCAAATGTGAAGGAGTACAGCAAGTGCCAAATACGCACACAACCTGGTCTGAGTTCAGACCAGGACAAAGTTCCCAATGAATGTGGACTCAGGGATGTTGCAATTTCCATAGACATTCTGCTTAATACACATTTATTGTGAGGCAACAAGGAGAAAAGAAAGCATAAGCGCTTTCCCCAAATGGTTCACATTTAGCTGAAAAAGCAGAATACTTTTTAAAGAGAATAACACAAATAAATGACAGGCATACACAATACAGAGGAGCTCAAAGTAGGGAGAGAAGAAAGAAAGTCTCATAATGGATATGAATTGGAGTAGACTCTTTAAGAAAAGGCATTCTGCAGCTACATTGCAAACTATATCTAAACTACAGATTTTTAAATGTTAAAAACAATTATGTAAGCATATACTTGGATAACTATAAAAGATGTTTCTCAGATTCCCTGTGCTTCTTTTTCCTAGGATATGCTTGCCTAGGGTAGAAATGTATTTGATTCTTTTAATTGAAATTCTACATTGAAACAAATTTTACATGCCATGGGGTTAATTAAAAGCATTTGAATTCAGCTTTTCAATTTACTTTCTATTTACCAGGCAAAGACAAATGAAATACAAACAATGAATGAATAAAGTAATGGGGCAAGATCAATTTTGACAACTGTGCACTTCTTGTCTCTTGCTTATCATTTCCTTAGAAGGCTCCCAGATAATCCATAAGTGAGCAAATGAAGCCAGATTCTTAGTTTTCATTCCATATCTACCGTGCATGTATTTGAAACTGTTTATAGGGACTTCTAGCTCTAGATAGAAATATTTTGCTAATTTTCATATTATTCTTGAGAACTTCAGTGGATTTAATTTTGGTCTTATTATGCAGATAAGAAATAAGGCATATTTTAAATTAACATTTCTAAGTTCACACAGCAGGTTCATGACTGCAGACTCTCAAAACACATACTTAAACCACACAAAACACTATCTGTACCTGAAAGGGAGAAATTTCCTTTCTGGCTTTCACTTTCTCTGATTAGAAAGGCACCAGTCAGATTTTCTGAATATAATAGTTGTTTTTCAGCATCTGCTCTTTTGATTGCTCCAAAGAACCACCTAAAAAGAGAGAAATGAAAGCTTTAATTAAACAATCATCATTCATTTTTCAAGGAGCAAGAAGTTTGGCAAAACACAAGAAACACTTGATATTCTTTACTGTAACTATTATTAGTGTAAACAGCTCTTATATTTGAGATGATTGTTCAGGATGTCTATAACTCACACTTTAAAAAAAAAAATCTGTGGAGTCAATTTTGACTTATAGTAAGTACATGTGAGTTACAGAACTCTGTTTAATAGGGTTTTCAATGGCTGATGCTCTTCAGAAGAAAACTACCACCCTTTCTTCCAAAGTCCATGTGTTTGGAATCAAACCACCAACCTTTTGACTAGCAGTTAAGCACATTAACTGTTGGCACCACCCAGGGATCCACACTAGGTGACTTGGGGTGGGAAGAATGCCAAATAAGAATTTGGCTGATGCCAGTGTTTAAGAGCAAAGTTGTCAGTTTGAGGACTAAGGTATATTTGGCCTAAGCCATGGTATTTTTAATAGCCTCATATATGCATGTGAAAGTTGGACAATGAATAAGGAAGACTGTAGAATTGATGCATTTGAGTTAAGGTGATAGAAAATATTAAAAGTACCATGGACTGCCAAAGAACAAATAGATCCGTGTTGGAAGAATTACAACCAAAATTCTCTTTAGAGACAAGTTGGCGAGACCAGTCCCTAGAAAAGGACATCTTGGTAGGTAAAGTGGAAGGTCAATAAAAAAGAGGAAGACCCCAAACAAGATGGATTGTCACAGCGGCAGCAGCACGGGGCTCAAGCATAACAATGATTATGAGGAAGGTGCAGAACCTGGCAGTGTTTGTTCTGTTGTACATACAGCTGCTACAAATCAGAACTGACCCGATAGCACCTTCAACAACAACAACTACCACATCGCTTCTCACACCTACATTCAGTCTGAAAATTCCTCTTAAAGCCAAAGCCTGCAGAATGAAACCCACAAGTCTGCCCCAGTCTATGATCTAAAATGACTCCTCCTACTCATCCAACTGTCTACTTCCTCAGGGAACCTTTATTACAGCTAGCTGCTAGGAGACTACCACATGTCAGTGCTTTGGATCCACCAGCTGCTTCAGGGAGGAGAAATATCTAACAGTCTGTTTCCATAAAGATTTATAGACTGGGAAATGGTAAAGAGCAGTTCTACCTTATCCTATGGCTCAATGAGTCATAATCGACTGAACTTCAGTGAGTTTGGTTTGGGTGGGGTTCACTGATGGTGGTGGTGGTTATGTACTGTGGAGTCAGTTCCGACTCATAGCAATGCTACACAGGGTTTCTAAGGCTGTAAATCTTTACGGGAGCAGAAAACCTCATCTTTCTCCTGTGCAACAGCTGGTAGTTTGGAACTGCTAACTGTGAGATTAGCATCCCAATTCATAAGCAGTACACTACCAGAGCTCCTTGGGGTTCACTGATGTTGTTGCTATGTGCCGTGGAGTCGGTTCCAACTCATAGCGACCCTGTACAGGGTTTCCGAGGCTGTAAATCTTTTGCGGGAGCAGAAAGCCTCATCTTTCTCCCATGGAACAGCTGGTAGTTTCAAACTGCTGACCTTGCGGTTTGCAGCCCGATTCATAACCACTACGCTACCAGAGCTCACTGATTGTTGTTGTTGTTGTTAAGTGCCGTCGAGTCGGTTCCGACCCATAGCGACCCTGTATAGGGTTTCCGAGGGTGTCGAAAATTCCAATCAAAGGATTCGTACTTCACATTAAAGTGTGAATGATTAAAAACGTATTTTCCCACTTCCACCACTGATTTTGCATGTTTAGGAGGAATTTACTAGTATAAGGGAATCTGTAATCAATGGAGAGATTATGTGGAAAAGGTATTTCTGCTTGGGAAGTTCTTTCTTAGTGTTGCTTCTGCATCTTCTCTTTACCATCTTATCCTTAGCTCAACAGACTTAGGACACAGGTACTGAACATATAAATTTGCGAATGTTGTCAGCCATAACAAAGAATTTAAAGTAAAAAATTCTTAGCATATCAACTGAGAAGGCTGAGAAAGCTGGGGAGTGTGCTTGTCACGCTATAGGGCTGTAAAGATGATCACTAGAAATTTTAGGTAAATTAAGGAGCTCTGGTAGCATAGTGGTTACAAGTTGGGTTGCTAACCTTAAGGTCAGCAGTTCGAAACTACCAGCCATTCAGTGGGAGAAAGATGACGTTTTCCACTCCCATAAAGATTTACAGCCTCGGAAACCCTATACAGGGTCATTATGTGTTGGTATTGATTTTGCGGCACATAATCACCACCACCACCATTGATCTTTTCATCTCATCTTTGAAAACGTAAATAATTCTGGGAAGAAAATACCAGGTGAGAGAGGAAATATAGGTAAGAGAGTAGAGAAACTATAAACTTGGAAATAAAAATAGGCTTTCAAAAAAAATCAGTTCAAATTAATTTAGCATATCATTTGATTCCAGAGCAAGACAAGTCAGGTAAGAAAATCCTGGTTATAGGGGAATATGAGTATATTGAATGCAACTAACAACAACAAGGGTAACACAATGTGAGGAGTAATTTTTTTTAAAGTAAACAAGAGAGAGACTTAAAAATATTATCTCTAACAAATGCAGGGTATTTGTTTACCATTTGTCTTTCATCAAATTGAAAATTACATAATATTAACTGTATTAGTCAGAACATACTAGTATAGACTGCATTAATGAGCAATTCAAAAAGTCTTCATACTTTAAGGCAACTAAATGTATTTTTTACTCAGTGACTCATCAACTGAAGGTCATCTATCTATCTCACTCTAGGTCACTCTCCCTCAGGATGCTTTCCTCTTCTTGTTTGGAAAACGAGATTGCTGAAGCAGGATTGGAAGATGTGGAAATGACAGTCTGACTCTTAGAGCTTCTATTTAAAGCTTCCACAAGTGAGATTGTCAAGAGTCAGAATTGACGCTACAGCAACTAACAACAACAACAACAACATTCTTGAATGAATTCATCAGCCAAATTACATTCCTAAATGCAAAACAAGTAGACATTGCAATTCCATTATTTTTGTGAAGGTAGGGAACTGATAATGACCACATTGACTCAGTTGTTGCTGTTTGTGCCGTGGAGTTGGTTCCGACTCATAGCGACCCTGTACAAGGTTTCCGAGGCTGTAAATCTTTACGGGAGCAGAGAGCCTCATCTTTTTCCCGTGGAACAGTTGGTAGTTTCCAACTGCTGACCTTGAGGTTTGCAGCCCGATTCATAACCACTACGCTATGTGGTATGAGCTCCTTACATTGACTCAGTATCAGCAATCAAATTGATGTTCCTCTGGAATAATGAAGTCACAGAAGCATTCTAAGGTGGTCATGTAATAAATTCATAAAAGAGCATATACATGTTTTCTTACTGCTGCAGAAATAAGTAACTGTGGTTATTGTTTTTAAGTGCCATCAGATGCTTCTGACTCAAAGTGACCCCGATAGGTTTTCAGCTGTGAATTTGAACCTCCAACCTTGCAGTTCAAATCGACCTTATGGTCGATTGTTTATCCTACAGTGCCACACCAGAGCATAATAGAAAACTAGAACAGATCCACATACACAGATTAGTGATAAAAGGATATAATAAATAATTATGAGGGGGAGAAATTAAATTAAATTAAGATGACCTTGTATCATACACTATAAATTCCACATTGATTAAAGTATAAATATAAAAGTCAAACTTAAAACTTTCCAAAGATATCAAAAAGAATTTCTTTGACAACAAAAAAACACAAACCTTAATAAATAAGATTAATAACACTTTGTTGTTGTTGTTGTTAAGTGCCATTGAGTCGGTTCCAACTCATAGCGACTCTGTATAGGGTTTCCAAGGAGTGGCTGGAGAGACTGAACCACCAACTTTACAGTCCAGGACATTATCCTGCAGCATTACACCAGACTCCTAATAATACTTATTACATCATCATTTAAAATTTTGCATAGCAAGATAACCCTGAAAAAACTAAAATACAAGCCACAGATGTAGAAATAAACATTTGTAAAGTATACAATCAAGAATAAGATTTGTTATTCAGCTTATATGTTGTTGTTAAGTGCC